GCTATGTTTTCCACTGTTTAATTTCCCTCAATATACAGTATTTTTCCATTTCCAATATTTCTTTTTGGCTTTTTTCTCAAATCTACATGTTCTTTATCCATGTGCTCTTCTTTTAGCCTATGGTTCATATTCTCTCCTTTATCTCTGCGAAGTCTCTTTCAGAATTTTTTTTTTCCACTACCAGGGATCGAACTCAGGACCTTTTGCTTGCCAGACAGGCACAGGTGCCACTGAGCTACATCCTTGGCCCCTGTTTGAGAATTTTCTGTTATCTCTTTTTGGATCTGAATTTTGTCATTTGTGCATTTGGGAGCTCTTATACTCCCTTTCCTCATGTACTTTGTAATTTCTAGCTCTAAGCTCACCTGCAGAGACTGTTGTTTTCTAGATAATCCACTGTAAAGTACTCTAGGTTGTAAGTTGCCTCATCAAGTAGTTTCAGTTTGCCACTGCTAGGACATTATCACCAGTTCTAACCAGTCGTCAAGTGAATTTCTTAGTTTGATACCTATACCAAGTTTGGAATGCAAATTTAGATCCATTATTCACCTGTGGCACAGGGCTGGGATTTCTTTCTATGCAGCCCAGGTTGCCCTTGAACTTGAAGCGATCCTCCTGCCTCAGCCTCCCAAGTGCTAGGATTACAGGGATGTGCGATCACACCTGGCTCTGGGATTTCTTCCTTGAACTTTTCCTTCCACAGCCCTGGCAGGAATCAAGCTTCCTTGCTGTGCTATCCCCAGGCCAGTGGGTGGTATTGTAGTTGCTGTTTTTCTATTGCTTTTCATGTTATAAAGCACAGGGAGTTTAATTCCATGCACAGGCTCAAAGCTTCATCTTCCATTCCTGTGCCAGCTTTATAACTTTAGCGCTAAATTGCAGCAGTGAGTCAGTGATAAGTCACCTAAACAGTGCATTTCTCAGGGACCATTTAAATAAGCTTAAAATAAATTTTGTCCCAGCAAGAAATAGTTATGTGCCTAAATCAGATTGTCCTTAAGGGCTATTTGGCTTCCACTCCTCATCTCCCAACTTCTTTATTCCTGACACTTTTCTTTGGTTCCTCTTTTTGGTTTTTATTTGTTTTTTTTCTGTTGAACTCAGGATTTTGAGCTTGCCAGGCAGATACAGCACCACTGAGCTACATCCCCAGCCTTCTCTTTTTTGGGTTTTAAGGTTGACTTTGAGTCTCTCTTTTACTTTATAGTTTGTCAATATGTTAACATTTTCCAACATATCTATGTGTTTCAAGGAGGAAGAGGAATTTCCTATGTCTTATTAATCTGTCATATTTACTATAAATGTTCCCTTCTTTTATTTTTACCTCATCCTAGGATGATCATCACTGTTAGCATATGAGCTCTTCTTTGGGATGTTTGTAGTAAAGTAGACAGTACCAGATACATGTCCTCATTTATGTTTTCTCTTTAGGTTTTGGAGTGTCACAGACCAAAGCCATCATGACTCTGGTGTCTGGAATTCCAATGGGCCCACCCCGGCTTCCACTGCAGAAAGCTACCAGGGAGTTTACTGATAGTGCTGAAGCTAAGCTGAAGAGCCTGGAATTCCTCTTTCACTGATTTAAACGATGGAAACTTGGGATCCTGTAGTTAGCACCTCTATAAATCAGGGTGTATACATTGAAAATTACTATGCGTTGAATAACACATTCTTTCCTCAGGGACTTTTTAGATGAA